CCTTGATCCATCTATGCCTACCCACTGCCATCGAGTTGATTCCAACTCATAGCGACCCTGTGGGACAGAGTAGAACTGCCCTATAGGATTTCCAAGGCTGTAATCTTTAGGGAAGCAGACTGCCACATCTTTTTCCCACAGAGTGGCTGGTGGTTTCAAACTACCAACCTTTCAGTTAGCAGGAGTGTGCTTTAACCACTGCACCACGAGGGCTCCTCCATCTATGCTTAGGAGGGTAGAAAGCACAAGAAGGGTGTTAGGCTGATGTGGAAAGAAGAGGCTGGAGGGAGCAATTGACGTAGGTTACTCTGATGCTAGTTTGACAGATAAATGAAAATTTTTATAGGAGAGTCAATGCCTCTAGAAAACTATTTGGTGGAATAATATCTGTTCTAGTCAGCCAGAAGAAAATGAATCATCCTGACTTTAAACTCACCAATAATGAAAGCATATCCCTAGAAGTTTCAGAATACATTTCTATACAGACCACCAATCACCACCCCATCTCTAAGAAGTAGCTGATCCATCTTATATGGCACTCAACCCATGGGACACTGTAAATAACCCTCAGCCAAAGTGAATGATACTCTGACCGGGCATGAATTGGTCTTCTGATTCTTTTGTGTGTGCTGTCTTTGGTATTTTCAGTTTATGTACTGTACAAATACGGTCAGAACACACTCATTCCTCTTTAGCAGAGTCAGCTTTGCTTTATTTCAAGACGATAAAATGCTCATCAGTCCCCGTGCTGCTATGCTCCTTGGTCAAAGGGGACAGAATAGCCACGACCTGACTAATCCATCACCCCCATTGCTGTTAGATGCCATCGACTTATAGTGACCCTATATGATGGAGTAGAACTGCCCCCAGAGGGTTTTCTAGGCTGCAATCTTTATGAGAGCAGATCACCAGGGCTTTCTCTTGTGGAGCCACAGGGTGGGTTCCAACTGCCAATCTTTCGGTTAACAGCCAATTACTTAACTATTGTGCTATACCATAAAAGCAAAGTAATCCTGGACATGAGTTCTACCCTTGTCTCTACTTTATGTAGGAAACTAGTTATTTTCATGGGACAAACTAATTAAGAAAAGGGATTCTATTTTCTGGAGTTTTATGATTAAAAATGAGTGCTGGTTGTCAGAGACACAGGAATTGACTACTAATCACCATCTCTGACCTTGGTCAGGTCATCTGATCTCGCTATTGTTTCTTCTCATGCAAAATCTGTTCCTGGTTTGCCTCAGAAGTATTTCCCCAAAACAGTGGAAAATATAATCTGCACTCTTGAAGGTAACCTTTCACTATTATACTTATCATTCTATACTGATGGTCTAAAAATTAAATGGAACATATCAGCTTCAGAAGTATAGCTTAGAAGTCAGCACCAAATCCTCTAAAAAGCAATGTTTAGAGAGTTCAGCAAGAAACCTGATTTAAAATTAACTGTCTGTAAGCTCTGTTTTACAGCTCCAAAGTGCCAAACCTCTCAAGAGCCATCTATAAAGGATCAATCAAAGTATATCTCCTTTGGAAAATGACTGTTCTGACAAAGACATTATGGGTGTTTCATTCTTCATTTATTCATTCATTCATCCTGCAAATAGTTATTAAAGGTCTACCATGAGTCAGGCACTGTAATAGGCTGAAATGATGGGCTCAGGCATAACGATTGTGAGGATGGTGCAGGACCAGGCAGTGTTTCGTTCTGTGGTACATGGGGTCGCTATGAGTTGGAATCGACTTCACTGCACCCAACAAACAACACAGCACTGACAGAGGAGGAGGAGAAGAGCGTTAAAGAAGCCTCAGGTGCTAGGCTCGCAAGTTTATTCTGTGGCCACAGAAAACCTTTACAAGCACTTTATGTGGAGATGAACCTTTCCCTCCTGATGAAAGTGGAAGATTTAAGTGCCTTCCTAGAGTTATTGAGGCTCACATCTGCTCAGCAGCTGTTTCCTTAGAAATTTACCAAGTGTAGCATGTGCACTGCTTCTAGGTCACTCACATTAAACACTCAGTAAACCCTTGTTAACTAATTTTAAATCACAGCTGCTTTTCAAATAATCAGTATCTCCTTAGTAGACTGTCAACACAAATTAGAAATTTCAGCACTGGATGTAAAAATTTACATCACCTCTCCCTGCCACACACATAAAAGGTTGGTGGTGGTCCCCGTTCCCCCCCACCCCACACACACACTTTGGATCAAGTTCTTGCTTATCACTAAGTTCTTGCTTAATAGAGTTACATTTGATTGTGTTCACAGATTTTTCTCTTTGCCTTTCTTTTTTCACTATTAATTTTCCTTGTAAGGATTAGAGATTATGTATGCAAATATTTCTAGCTCACAGCATTTGCTAGTTGCTCAATAAAAGGCAAGGGCAGTTCTTTTTTATTTGTGCCTGCTTCTTGCATAGGGTTACTATTGAGTCGGAATCAACCAGGCAGCAATGGGTTTTAGTTTCAGTTTGCTCTTTGTATAAAAATGAGCCCTGGTGTCACAACCATTAAGCGCTGAAAGGTTGGCGGTTCAAACCCACCCAACCACTCCATGGCAGAAAGACCTGGCAATCTGCTCCTGTAAAGATTACAGCCTAGAAAACCCTGTGGGCCAGTTCTACTCTGTCACATGGGGTCACTGTGAGTTGAAATCAACTTGAAAGCACCTAACAACAAAAACTACTCATATTGAAAACCAGTTGCCATGAAGTTGACTCCAACGCATGGTGAACCTGTGTATGTCAGAGTAGAACTGTGCCCCATAGGGTTTTCCAAGTTGATTTTTCAGAAGTAGATCACCAGGCCTTTCTTCCGAAGCACCTCTGGGTGGACTGGAACCTTTAACATTTTGATTAACAGCAGAGCACCACCCAGGGACTCTACTCCTTGTATTGATGTTGTTATGTGCTGTTGAGTTGATTCCGACTCATAGTGACCCTATAGGACAGAGTCGAACTGCCCTGCAGGGTTTCCAGGGTGTGGCTGGTGGATTTGAACTGCCGACCTATTGGTTAGCAGCCTGAGTTCCTAACCACTTCGCCACCAGGACTCCTTGTATAGCACTTGGTAATTTATGACGTGATGTCGCAAACATGAAGCATGCATGTGCACTCCTGGTGTTGTTACCCCATTTTACAGCTGAGCAACTGAGGCCTAGAAAGATCGGATGATTTTCCCACTGTAAAAGGACGGGGTGGGGGTCAGAACAGACTAGAATCCACGTCTCTGTCTCCTCGTGCATGTTTTCCCACTCTTGAGCCATCTGTCAGTTGCTTCCATGGGAGTATCTCCAGACAACACGAGTAATGAAAAACAAACAGGAATGGAAGAGGTCTGATTCTTATGTGGGGAGCACATATGGGGAGTTCAGCGTCTCATTGTTCTCCAAAGGACTTCGTGTTACCATTTTGTAAGACTAAGGGGTCATTTGGAGCAGACACAAGGAAGCTCAGGCAGGGAAGTGTCCCTGAACTCCAAGGGTTGCCTAAGGTTTAAGATCCAGTGAGGATTTACAATGAAAGCAATGTGTTTTTTTGTTTGTTTGTTTGTTTGTTGTTTTTAAAGAAATTAATTAACCAATAGATAATTTCCTACAAGGAGGCAGAAGGCCACTGCCTGTGAGATCCTACTTGCCTGCTGTTGCAGAGTATCAGACACCAGTAGGTTAAAAGAGCCATTTCTATGGAAACTAGCTCATTATTTCTCTTTTGTCAGAACCCTACTGGTTTGTGGTCTGGGCTTCCACATTAACAAAAATCTCCCATATGGCATTCAAAATACTAATCTTTCTTCCTGGGAGTGAACAAAGCCTGCCTATCATTTAGGAATGCGAGCTCCTGTTTGCAGATACAGGCAGTTTCCTTATCCAAGGCTCAGATACAAACTAAAAGCTTACGTGTCCTTTTTAAGTTGCAACATGTCTTATTTCATTTTACAAAATCCGTGAAATTCATGACTTTGAAGTAAACATTTTTCAAGGGCTGTGTTTTTGTCAAGGTCGGTAAAAGCAGCTAACCGGTGATCCTATTTCCAAAAGAAAGTCTGTATCTTGTAGAAGTTAGTGTTTTCAAAATTAACAGTTTACTGGAAAACAGAGTGCTGTCATTTCAGATAATGGGTTCTGGCACCTGAATGAGGCAGGGGAAGCTGTGCTGGTTCTTATTCCCCACGTACACAGCCTGGATGGCTCCCGTGTTGATTCCAGGGAAGTCAGACACAATTTTGTCTTTCTTCCATTGGGTAAGTAGCAATGTCCCAGCAAAACCAAACGGAAATAGTACAGAGGGGATTTTTAAGCCAAGATGTGTCTCCCTTGGTTCATTTTCTTCCCTCTTGGCCCCAAAGCACATCTGGTTGTTGGGGCTACTGGATTGGTCCTCATTCACATTAGCTCTCCCTGTAGCTAGCTACACAGACTGTAAACATTGCTATTATGCTTGTGAAAATGGCCAAATATATACCATAGACTCCAGATTAGGACCAATTTGTTGCCTCTGAAAATGTGAATTGAGAAGGACTAGATGAAAATCTTTTCCTGGGGAGGCTGCTTCAGACACACTCTTCTCACTAATGTTCTAACTTAATCTAAGCCTCAGTTTCCTCAAACATGGATGCCAGTGCTTGTGTGTATAGAGTGGCTATGAGGATTAAATAGGACAGTGCTTTAAAGCACTTGGCCGAATTCCTAGCACATAGCAAGCCCTTGGTCTATAAGCTAATATTTATGTTAGTTTCAGTTCCTGGTCCTCTGGTGAAGGAACAGAGCTTTTGGCCTCTAAAATCAATTTCCCAGAAATGAGAAGCACTAAAAGATCAGGAGGCGAGCCGGGGATGGGGAAGGCATATGGTTAGCTCCTGTCTTTTTTGTTTTGCTCTGTTTATAAATCTATCCTTCACCTTAGCCAGCACTGTGTTGTCCAGCTGTCTGCATTCTGTGTCCTGCCTGTGAACCTTGAGGCTCCCCAGAGTAGTATGTATTCCTGTGTCTCTTCTCTCCTTCCCTCCCCTTCTCTTTCATTCCCTTGCCTCCTCTGTCTCCCCGTGCTTGCCTCCTCTCCCCTTTCCAAATTCAAACCAGTGACCTGTGAATTCAATATCATCCCAAGCTCTTCCATGCCTCCATCTGTGTAAGCCCATACTCTACAACCCCCCAGCCCTACCCTATTCTCATCTTCTAAAAAACAAGCGTAAAAAATTCTCCATCTCCATTCTCCACACTGACGCTCAAAAATGAGCAAAGGCGAGTGAGGAAGCCAGGACGTTGTGACACCGAAAAGATATGTTCGTGACGCATCTAGTTGTTGAAACACATGATTGGGAAAGACTGACCCTGCAAAGTAGGTTCCAACCCTAATCCTCTAAGGCATGAAAGTGTCGAGGGAGAAGGCAGTGAGCGTCACAAAGAAATACATTCTTGATTTAAAATGTCTCTAGTGGCTAAGAAACCAAGAGAAATTAGTGTTTGCTGATTTGTAGAGATGGGAATGTGCTGTTTTGGTGTTTTCATGTCACAATGGCCAACTGGTAGGAGAGAGAGATGCCTGACAAAAAGCTACCCTGAAATGTCCAGGCTGATATTTTGCAATAATTATTTGATTCACATTACAGCGGCTAGTCATAAGCTCACTAATATTCTGATTGTGAAACCCTTTCACAGGATTGGATATTAGTTGTACTCTTAGTAAGTTGTTGTTAGATGCTGTTGAGCGATTGCAACTCATAGCGACCCCATGTGACAGAGTGGAACTGTTTCATAGGGTTTTATAGGCTGCATCTTTACAGGAGCAGGTTGCCAGGTCTTTCTCCAGGAGAGCTGCTGGGTGGGTTTGAACCACCAATCTTTCAGTTAGCAGCCGAGTGCTTAACTGTTGCGACACCGGGGCTCCTGTACTCTTAATACATATAATCTAGTAAATTTGATGATAATGTACTTACTTGCTTCAGAATAGATTAGAATAGGGATCAAAGAAATGTGAGTGACAAATACGACCAAGCTAAACTTGGGTTACAGTATGAATGGTTAACAAAGATATCTATCCAGGTGACTAATTTTAAACACTCTGAAAAATTCTAAATTGGAATATTTTGAAATTTGTTCTCTAATTCCAAAGTAACTACCAGCCAACCATCAATGATGTGACTAACTGACAAATGAGAGTAATAAAGATATTGCCAAGTGATTGGGAAACTATAAACCTCTAATTTACTTTCTAGACCTGGAAATTGTTTGTTTTATTGCCAGTGTAATCCTAACCTATAAATACACAAAACAAATCAATCAAATCCCTTAGCACCTACTCCAAATATCAAAACACAGTCCTGAGACTGTGTTTTAGTTGTAATTAAAACTAAAGGCCCTAGGGAAGCCTGCCTGGGTGCCACACTTAAAAAAAAGCGCCATTAGAGTATGAAAAGAATGGAATCCTTTACAATTAACCTACAATTTCTAAGGCAAAGACTCCATTATCCAAGCATTTATTTATCTTTTCACCACAGAACTAAGGGGTTGTGTGTTTACTCCCAAGCCTAAATGACAAGAAAATGTTATGGTTTCTTAATAGAAAAGTTCCTCCTGAAATAAAGTAAAATGCTAAATATGTTTTTAGAAAAATAAGACTCATATAAAAGGTTATTGTTCTATAACAGGCCTGTTTTTTTCTCATGTTCCTTGGGAGGGGGAAAAATCTCATCAGTTCAAAAGAATAAAAGGCCTTCTGCATTATTCTTGGCGTTTGGAATTCAGGTGGGATAATTAGGACATTCTTTCAGAGGCTGACCAGTCTCTCACAGACAGGCTCTGTGATTGTTCTAGAGATTTTTATTGTTTGTCTTCTGTTTTGCTCACTGGCAAATACAGCCCAGCATAATCTCATTCCACCAGTACATTGAGAAAGAGACCACGCTCTATTTTAAATAAAAAGGAAGCAAATATCCATAAACTTTAATGATGCTTTTAAGAACACTTATTCTTCACTGGGAGAGTAAGAGGGATGATAAAACGTAAGAATATGAAACCCCAGTTAATTGTACCCTTCTTCATGGAGTACTTTCTTTGAACAGTTTCTCTTGCATGGTTTATGGCTATTTTGGGGTGTCCTTCTGTATTTCTCATTGGGAGCACTAAGGGCCTTTTAGATGACACAATTCATTATTGTCTGGCACTCTACAGGACATTAGAATCCCTGCCTCTGCCCACTAAATGCCATCAGCACCCCCAGTTATTGCCATAGTTCAAACCACCCCTACACATTTCCAAACTCCTCCTAAGGGGCAGTGCCTCCCCTGGTTGACAACCACCAGTGAGTCCAGTGTGGGGCTTGGAGAAAAACTTGAATCACATTTGGAATTTCTGGAGGGTAAATTCTTGGAATATTAAAAAGAGGTTTTGGCCATAGAATTCTGAAAGAATATATGTTCAGAATTATAGCTGTGATTCAAATTCAGGGATGTGTAACCACACATATTCCATGCGATAACTTTGTTGCCAGATGACCCAGCACTTGGCAATTGCTGGACCAAGGACTACTTGCTGAACCAAAGAGTGCTGCGCTAACAAGACCCAACCTTTGATCATCACCTCAGCTGCCTCCGGGAGATGTTCTGAGATCCCACAAGTAGCCTCAGGAATCCAGAGTTTTCCCAAGAGAACCAGGCTCTGACTCTAATTCCCTCTGCCTGTCCCCCTCCCACCCACTCCTAGCAGTGGTGGAGTCCACTGCTGGGAAGATGCCTGGAGTGGCCCTTTGATGGCTCCTGGGCCAGGCTGGGCCCAGGTGAAGATAAACTCATGTGCATCACCAGCCAGCTCAAAGACTGGGCTGATGGTGTAGAGGTGAGGGGGATGTGTAGAAACGAATCACCCTCTCTTGTTAACTAAAAGTTTTTTGTTGTTTGTTTTTAAGAGGATGGTGTGTGTGTGTGCGGGTGTGTGTGGTAACGCTTTGTCTTGATCTCTCAGCAGAACTTTTCTTTTAGAATTATTCCAGGGGTTAGTGGATTCAAACCATTTCCTTCCCTCTTTCAAAGAAAAAAAAAGTTTCTGCCCAATTTGTGTTACATGTAAAATGAAACAGGAACACACTAGCAGAGAATATCTGATGCGTCTGCACTTCCCTGTTGAAACTGCAGGACTCCTGTCAACCCTCTTTCTTGCGTGGATTTCTCTCATCTCAGGTGGAGGTGAAGGCAAAAACGTTTCCTCTTCTCCATTAAGACCTGGTAAGGTAGAGGTCTCCCTTGTAATGTAGGTGGAGGGGCGTGTGTGTGTGTGTGTGTGTGTGTGTGTGTGTGTGTGTGTTGCACTGTCCAAATACCCCAAGCTTTTCCTTTTTTCCGCAGGTAAACCTGAAAATGGCTTTTCTCTTCTTCCTCTCACTGTGTGTGTGTGTGTGTGTGTGTGTGTTGTGTTGTGTTGTGTTTCGCTTTTTTTTTTTTGGCAATCTCAGTCTCCTCAAGGCTTTCACAGCTTTTCCCAAGAAACATGAAAAGACATCAGGATACAGACTTTCCCTGGATACTTGAATGAAAATAACGGATCATTTAATCAATAAATGTCTGGTCTGCTGGCCAGTGACAGAGAAGCCCTTAATAATGATGATGTAAACACGATAGAAGTTTCTCTCGTAAAGAGGTCTCAAGGTAGCCAGTCCACAGCTGACACGGTGGCTCTGCAGTATTAGCCAGGACCCAAGATCCTTCCGTTTGCCCTAGGGTGCAGTTCTCATTGCAGAGGTCCAAGATGGAGCTCCATGGTACAGCTTCCTTGCAAGCTAGTAGCAGGAGGAGGGGGAGGCAAAGAGTACTCCCCCTTTTTAAGGACACTTCTGCTTATATCTCATTGGCCAAAACTTAGTCATATAACTATACCGAGCTGCAAGGGAGGCTGGGAAATGTATCGTTCAGCAAAATATGCTCAGTTAAAATGCAGGGTTCTTGTGGTCTCTGTTAAAGCAAAAAAAGGGTGTTATTACTAATAGTGAAGAAAAGAAGAAAAGTCATTGAGAGGCAAGTTGTGGTCTCTGCCACAAGTTCCTCTGTGATTTGGTTTAGATTCAAGCGCAAAAGAATAGGTGACCAGATCCTCAAAGCTCCTTGAGGTCCAATGATGGTGTGGAAATCCTGTGATTATCTGCACTTTAGTGTGGTGGATTTTAGTTTTAGAAAAATATTCGCCTCACAGAACAATTCCAGGGGCTTGTAACAGGTCATGACTATTTCCAACTTTGGATGAAAGAAGAGTTAGGCTCTCTATAGGTGCTTACCCACCGGATAAGTCAGTACTCCCATCTTAGCTTTACGGAGTATTGTGAGGCTGTTAGATGTTTCATTGTGGGACATGTAATTTCCCTCCGGGGCTGAGATGATCGGGTCCCTAACCATGCTGATGAAATCACAATTATTAAACCCTCCTTTTATTTATTTGTTTTCATTGCTTTTACATGTAATTCTTCCCTCCTGTGATCTTTAAAACATGAAAATAGAGTTCAGAGATATTTGTATCTTCAAAATTCTTTTAGTCTTCCCTCCCATTTTATTATTTCAAACCCTTTGAAAATAAATTGAGAGAACAGTTAATTATCTTCCAGTTTGTATTGTAAATGCTGTTGGGGTGACTTATTTTGAAGCATTCTTTATAAAATAATACTCTCTGTTAAAAGGCCTATATGTTTACAGAAGCCTTATACATAATTTCTTCTTCTTCTTTTTTTTTGAAGACTTGGTTATCAAGAAATAAGTACCAAAGATATAATTTATAGACTTTGGCTCTTTTGGTAATTAAAAAAAAAAAATTGTTTCTTGATTTTAGTGAAAGGGTGAAAATCTGTGTGGAATTTATTGTGGGTTATTCTTCCTTCCCCTGGTTTTCTACGTGTCCTCTTTCCTTTTTGAGATGGGTGGCTGATCATACTTTATCCCTAGAGAAGAAAGATTTCCCAAAGCTGGCAGAAGTCATGATTTTTAATATAATGTCTTCAGAACAAGATTCTGCTAGTGTTGACTGAGACAACGTTTTAATATTTCTCGTTGCTTGGGTCATGCACTGTAGTTAAATTGCGGCTTTCAGACATTGCTTCACTATTGGGTGTCAGTGACCTCAAGGGACACATTTACACAGAAGTTCCTGAAATAGAGAATGGCACTTTGACATGAAGGAAGACCTGATCAGAGTGTGGGAGAAACAGGCACTGAAAATAAAATGGAATACTTTCTGAGATGAACAACAAGAAAAAAATTAGATAGTGGGTCAAGAAAGGATTAGAAGAGAAATGAAAGTGGGATAGGATTTGAAAGGGCTGGAGGTCAGGGTGACGGGAACAGGGAGAGGGTCTGGCAAGGCCAGAGCAAAGAAACCATCTCCACTCTCTGAACATTTATGTTCCATTTCCATATTTACAAAAGTAAAAATTTAAGTCTTTTGTACTTCATTTAGAATACTGCTGGTGAACTAATTGATGTATTTAACAGTGCAGACATGGTTCTCCCTCCCCACTCCTGCCGACATTATAGATGTGTTTCTGAGAAATTGTGAGTAAAGAGGGTAGTTCCAAATTAAGCTATATTTCAAACAGAGTAGGAAAAATAGCTACTTAAAGTAATACTGGATTAGACAACACTGAAAAGTCAAGTTTCCAAATTGCAGTGTCTCTGCAGTATAATAGGCTGAGTCGGTCATGATTAACCAGAAGGTTGTGGTTTAAACCCATCAGGAGAACACTGTATGCCAAAAAAAGAACCAAACCTGTTGCCGTCGAGTCAATCCCGGCTCATAGCAACCCTATAGGATGGAGTAGCACTGTCCCATAGGGTCTTTAGTCCTAAAGGAGAATGTAACTTACCATTTCTTCTGCTCACCTTTTCCTTCACCTTCTGAAGGCATTTACACGATATCTGACAACAATAGCACTCAATAAATAATAGCAATAACAATGCATACCGTCACCCTTACCATTTTGAACTTATTTCATGAATTAAGATCATTTTCATATCTTGCTTTCTTAATGTGGGGACACGTCTTATTCTACTTGATTTGGTAAACATTATTTTTCTTTCCCTAAAGAAGGGATAGGGGACAGAGGTTGGAAAATCAAACCTCGTCTTCTGGCCTGCCTACCAATCAAACATTTCTGGACTGCAGCTGGAGAAGCTGGGCCTAGCTACAGCCACTGCTTTGAGATCCCCAGCTATGATGAGCCTGCACGTTTGGCAGCTCATGGATTCTCTGATGAATGCTTCCTCTTTGTTTTCTCTCCTAGTGTGTCTGAGAACACAGCCAGCTCTCCGATGGCCAGCAACAACACCGCCAGCATAGCGCAAGCCAGGAAGCTGGTAGAACAGCTGAAGATGGAAGCCAACATCGATAGGATAAAGGTGAGGACACTACAACCCTCACAGCTCATCTAGCCTTGATTTTCAGGCACATGATTTACATCCATCTGTCATTTGACCACTCTTGCAGTAGAGACTGATGAGAACAGTGATGGTAGGAGAAAAACTCAATGATTAAGCAAAAATTTATTTTTCTAATGCATCTCTTCTTAATCATGTAATTAAAGAAATCAGTATAAATGTAGAATTGAAAACAAACAAACAATAAAACAAACACGAAGAAAAACACACACAGGGGCTCATGGCTGAATTCCAGAAAGGAAATTGAAAAACACATAAAACATATCAGTCCACCTGTCCTTGTATAGACCCTCTTCTCATTTGGGCTTTAACTTTTTCTGTCCTGGTTCAGGTTCTAAATTTATGTTTCTTTCATGTGTAACCTTCTTGTATTCATCATTACAGGTTTGGTTTTCTTTTTTTCTCTCATTTACTTATTAGATTTTTTTCTTTGGAACACAAGTCAAGTTCTCCCTAAGATATCAAACAATATAGAGGTTTGTTTGTTTTTTTCAGTTAGCAGTCTACCTCTTTCTTTATTTCTTCTTCTCTCTCCTTAGATCTAAGCAACAGCCTTGCATTAAGTTGAAGCTAATTCAGATCATACCAAGACTCTAAATCCAAACCCTCGTTGGCAGATTTTGAATTTAAAGTTGACCCTTACAATGTCATTATTAGCAAATAGCTACTGCAAGGCAGTAAAGTGAATTTTTGCCAGTCATCAAAACTTTACTTTCTCAGAAGACTCAAGCAACTTATGAAATGAAACTCAGAATCACTTCTCACTTTCTAAAATAAAACTAGAACATTCTTCCAAATGCCCTTTTTTAACGAGAAACTTATTTTGTTTTCTCCCTACCTGATTCAGCAACCTGGCCAATTCAGCCATCCTTGGGAGCATGCTTCTAGAGTAAGGGTTGATAAATTATGATGCATGGGCCAAATAACCCACTATCTATTAGGCCAAATGGCCCACTGCCTATTTTTGTAAAAAATGTTTTATTGAAATACAGTCACACTCATTCATCAACATATTGCCTATGATTTATTTTACATTATAACAGCAGAGTAGAATTGTTGCAACAGAGACCATATGGCCTACAAAACCTAAAATATGTACTCTGTGGCCCTTTACAGAGAGTTTGCTGACCTCTAGTCTAGAGCAGTGGTTCTCAGCCCATCTGTCATTAAAATCATTCAGGGAGTTCTATAAAATGAACAATTCCCATACCTCACCCTAGAGCAACTAAATTAGAATCTCATGGGGTATGGCTCAGGCATTTGTATTTTTTTAAGTTTCCAGCGGATTGCAATCTGTAGCCAAGGTTGAGAATCACTGTCCTGACAGAAGGGGTTTATTCCTTCAAACTCCCACCAGGTGTGTGCTAGATAATTAAGGTAGAGCTGGTCTTTCTTTCTCCATAAATTGGTTGAGCAAATATCCATGGATATTTTTCCATCTATCCTAAACCTTCTTTGTAAAATTTTACTCCTGGTCATCAGGTTGGATTTTTATTGTTTGTTCAGTTGTTCACTCATTCCTTTATCAAATAAATATTTTATTGGGAGCTTTCCACATTACCAGGCCTTGTTAAGTTCTAGAGACAGGGTATATGTTGTTGGTAGTTGCCATCAAGGTGTCTCTAATTCATGGCTACCCCATGTATAACACAAGGAAATTTTACCCAGTCCTCCACCATCTTCATGACGGTTGGTATGTCTGAGTCCATTGTTGCAGCCCTTGTGTCAATCCAGCTCATTAAGGCTTTCCCTCATTTTTGTTGGCCTTCTACTTTACCAAATACCATGTCCTTCCAGTGTTTGGTTGTTGCTGCTGATACTTCCAAAGTAAGTGTGTTGAAGTCTTGGATAATCTTCTGTGATCCATAAGGGTTTTCATCACCTAACCCAAGCTAATTTTCAAAAGTAGGTTGCCAAACCTTTCTTAGTCTGTCTTAATCTGTAAGCTCCACCACCATGGGTAACCTTGCTGGTATTTGAAATACCGGTGGCATAGCTTCCAGCATCACAGCAACATGCAAGCCACCACAGTATGACAAACTGACAGATGTTTGGTGGTCTAGAGATACAGGGATGGGTAAAAACAAGATTCTTGTCCTCAAGGATCTCCTGGTCTAGTAAGGGGCTACAAATAATGTGAACCAAATCATCATGGACACAAATATGATATCCAAGAAGCATAATTAGTAAATGTCATCAGAAAGAAGCCAACACCACACCCTCAATGCCCTTTGAATACTACTTCTGAAGAGACACAAATAAATCACTACTGAAAAAGAGGCAAAGCATTAGCCCAATAAACTGAGTGGTTGCATTCCCAGGTGAGCTTTAGATTCAAACCTCTGAATCTCTTTTGACGTCATTAGACCTTAAATTGTTGGAAATACAGCAGCAGCCTGTATTTCAGCATTTGTTCTGCACATCAGAGCCGGGCAGCCATACTGTGGTGAAGTGTCAGATTATTTTTAGTTTAGCTATTTGATAAAACTGCGACTGTGTTGACATGGTTGTCACCTAGCTAGGTTAGGACTTGGTTATCTGCCTTTCAGAGTCTCTTCAAGACTTCTGAGCATTCAGGCTTCTCCACCTACTTTCTGTACTTGATCCTGCCAGCAGGAAACCGCTTCTCTATGAAGATCTCAGGTCTGTGATTTTCCAGTCAGATTAGTGACCTTTTCAAGCTGTAAAAGGTAGCAATGGTTTTCTGTACGCATGGCAGAGCCTACTGTGGCAATAAGGAACAGGGCCTTTAAATTAGGGTCAGATGACACAGCTGGCACTTAGAGCTGTGGAGCGTCCCTAAAACACAGGGTGACCTTATCCCTAACCCTTTGCATCACAGCTCCTGGGAGATCTGGGCTAATGAGCCCATTATCTGTTCATAAACCTCAGGCATATATAAATGATCTCCCAGTCTTTTCGTGCTTCTCTGTTAATGTTTCATTCAAGGACAGAGAATAAAGAGAAATAAAAGGAAGATGGGAAGGGGGACTGGAGGAAAGGGTAGAGAGGGGTTGTAAAGATTTTGATGCTTAGATGTAGTCATGCACCTCATGACATCCATTCCAGCAACGTCTGACCACATGTGTCTGTGCTCCGACTCACGAGCATCCGACTTACATACAACCCATAGTTATGAACCAACCTCCATAAAGCCTATTATATTAAAAATTCAAGATACATATGATGGTTCATAATAAAAATCAGGCGCTACTTTGGGACGTGCATCAAAACATTATTATTAGTACTGTCTTATTGTGTTAAAGATGTTTTAGTGTATCTGAAAGTATTTCTTTAATGCTTTTTATGCATAGAAAGGTACACTATATACTAAGACAAACATTTGATGAACTGACGTTAGATGTGAACCGTACCTAACTGTTCTGATTTACTTACAAATTCAACTTAAAGACAGACTTGAGAACAGAACTCGTTCGTAATCTGGGGACTGCCTGTATATAATACAGTGTTCACACAACGTCTAAATCACATAACGTCCTATTTCACAGAACGTATTGTGGACATTAAGCAAAGCATTACTATATATAAAACAGTAATACACTCACACTGACGTTGAGCAAGGAGTCCCTGGGTGATGTAAATGGTTAATGCACTTGACTGCTAACTGAAAGGGTAGAGGTTTGAGTCTACCCAGAGGCACCCAGAAGAAAGGCCTGGTGATCTACTTTGGAAAAATCAGTAATTGAAAAACCCTGTGCAGCACAGTTCTATTTTAATACAGATGGGTTTCCATGAGCTGGAGTCGACTCAATGACAGCTTGTTACTGGTTTAATGTTGAGCAAAAGCAAAGAAAGAAGTCTTGCCTCTAGAGCACAAGTTAAGAGAACGTGTACAAAAGTACAGGAAAACAGAGCCTCAGAAATCCACTTATACATCACTGTATCAGGACTCTGGGTTTCTATTAACAAGAACCTAACCTAAACTAACTTCAACAAGAAGCATTGATGATAAAAGATACAGGGTGTCTCAGAATTCAAGAGCAGAAATATAGCTGGATAAGCAGTAGAAGCGAGAACTGGAAGGCCACGAGGAACTGCAAGTGCTCTATCACATGGCTCTGTTTTTCTTTTCCTGGGAAAAATGGATTTCTCGGCTCCCTGGTCTACATGATGGATACAAGATGGCCGCCCGTGGCTCCCAGGATCACATATCACAGTTACAGCTCTATGAAGAAAGAGATAACTTGATTAAATCCCTTTCAGTCTCAATTCCCTATGTGTGGAGTGGCATCTCTGTTCTGGTGAGAATGAGCCATTTCCACTTTCAGTCAACTGACTTTAGAGTTGGACCACATTATACTAACGTGGTTCCTAGGAATTAATTTATCCACATGAGTGGAAAGGGGATATAGATAGTAGATAGATAGTAAGGGAGGGGTGGGAATCATTGTAGCTAGAAAGATGCTACTTGACAGAGATTGCTGTGAGCATATGAAGAATAATGTAGATATAAGAGTAAGAGCAAAAAAGCAAACAAACAAACAAACAAAAAAACCAAGGCCATGTGCAAGAATGAAGTGATTGCTTCTTAACTAATTGGGTGCTCCATAAACTGACTCCACGAAAAATTTCAGACTTATCTCATTTCTCCTCAGTATTCCCAGTAGACCTTTCCAAGTGGTTCTCCTTACTTTCCCAAGAATGTGCTATGCAAATTATCACCTCTCTGGTTAATCTGGGTCCCTCACCGGGAATGCCTTTCCCCCTATTCTTTGCCTATCCAAATCTCCATCTTCCTTTAGTCAGCTCAAATCCCCAATTGTTCATGAATCTCTTTTCCATTCTTACCATATTATATCAATTTACAAATTAACTTCACTTTCATCAGGTAATTTTTTCTAACTAGACTACACAGTCCTTAAAGTCAAAGACCATGTCGTTTACTTATTCTTATCCTTCACGGTGCTGAGGTGCACAGGCATTCGGTAAACACTTTTTTT